TAGTAACGACATAGTCGATTTGGGTATCAGATGGGAATAGTGGGCGCGAGATAAAGGCACCCGTGCGGTCGAATTTCTTCCAGACTTGCTCTTGGAGTTGAGGGAAGTCAAGCCAAGGGACTATGCGCTTGGGGTAAAGTCGGTTCACTGGGTCGGTCGCGTCGCCCTGGGTTGTGAGGGTCGCATCCGTCTCAACTCGGATCGCTTGAGATAAAGAGTTGTGACAGCGATCGAGAAGGCGAAACAGTGTGTTGGGCTGCACTTGCCGCTCTGCCTCTTCTCGCGCCTTCCTCTCTTCTTCTTCACGACGCTCTGCTTCTTCTCGCGCCTTTCTTTCTTCTTCTCGCGCCTTTCTTTCTTCTTCTCGCGCCTTTCTTTCTTCTTCTCGCGCCTGTCTCTCCTCCTCAAGCTGACGTCGTAGCTCGGCGATTGTTTCTTCCATCGCTTGTTGAAATCAGTATTCAGCAAGTAATCGAAAGATGCAAATCGACGTCAACATAGAAGGGGTTCGCTATCTGGCGCGGGGCGTGAGGGCGGAATGCGTCCAGATGTTTACCAAGCAGCTTAGTCACCCCCCCTTGGCGAGTTCAATCATGCCTCAGGCATCACAGGCATCAACATGCTACCGAAAAGGGTGGGTTTAATAACTGATTGCTGCCAAACTTGAACAGTGAGTATTAAAATCTCGTTTTTTATAATTACATAAGAGGATTTAACCATTGGACTAAAAGATCATAACAGCGAGCTGTTCTAGGGCAGTCGCTGGTTCGCTTAAGCCGCAATCGCTTCAGTTCCTGTATCCAGCGGGAAATCTTGCAGTCTTTCGGTGTGGCAACGACTTCCAAGATTTGTTTGATCGAGCCATGGAAAACGAGCAAAGAGTAGGAATGGGATCATATTGGAACATATACTTTAGCGGCTAATAACCTATTATTGACCAACAAACTACTAGGACCCTTGAGCATTTACGTAGGTAATGTTACACTAGAATGACTTAGCAGAAGAGGGAACTACAGAGTTCGCGAATGGGTTAGAAAGTTAGCATGCGATTTGTAGGGTTGGCCTTCTATTCGTTTAGGCTCGCCAGAGCCTCCTCAGTGACCGCTTTAGTACTAAAAGGTCGCTACGCCTTAAGCGCAATGAATCCTATAGCGGGGGATTCCTCCCACTTTTGGACGTCTTGATGTGAGAACTTGCCCGAAAACTTGCCTGTTATTAGCAAATGGACTACGGCCTCATCAAGGGCGGGATAAGGCTTTGCGGTAGGAGGGTTCCTATGTAGGGCGTAGGCAATCATAGCATCCAGCGGGAAACGGGAATTGTTTCTATATACCTGTTAGTTGAGGGGAATGGTACTGTACTGAAAGAATTCTTATATTTTTTTGCCTGCTTCTTTGCTGCACCGAATAAGAAAGCTGGGGCCGAAGTAGTACACACACTACCACCAATATTCACCGATTTTCTTTTCATTGTGGAAAGATTTGTGGAGTTTTCTTTTCTCGACTGGTGTTAGGCCTCTTGAGTTGTAAAGCGTGCTGACGACATTTCTTTTTAGAGTAGTCTCTGCTGTGCCCCGTTGACGTTCACACTCGATTTCTCTGACAAAAAAAAGAAACAGAGAATATCGAGCAACGCGTAGCTTTATATCATGTATGTTATTCTTATTGTGCAGGCGTATTAAATAGGTCATAAGACTAGCACGATTGGGCTTTCGATTGGTATTCGAGGAACTTGAGTCATTCCAGGAAGGGCCGCTCTAGAAACCAGAGACCTTCTAGGTATAGGAGTAGTTTTCTAAAAAGGTAGCGAGGTTGTGTGAATGAAGGCGTTCGCCGGTGCGTTGGACTTCCGCTAGCTGTTGCGAAGTCAGTCGGGAATATACCGATTCCAGAATATCAGGTTTATTCGGTTCACAATCTTTAACTGTTACACTTGGTTGCTCAGGCTCCTCTGGTTGCTTAGGCTCTTCTGGTTGCTTAGGAATAAGGCGGGGCCTGAGGTTCCTAGAGGATTGGTCTGACTGAGATCTAACAGTAAGGGAAAGCTTCCGCTTGGAGCTTGAGTGAAAACCCCTAATTGGTAAGGGCGAGTGAGACGTATCTGGAAGCTTCTTAGGCAGCGTAGATAGGCTATTATTATTAAGCGAAGGAGAAATAGATGTGGAAATGCCACTTTGGGGATTCGAGGTAAAGACGACCGGATTCTCGTCTTCACTCATGGAATCACTAATAGCTAAGTTAATATCCGATTCCCTAAAGCTTTTATTTGAAATTGAACAATCATCAGGGTCACTACCCCTTGCATTGCCAGGAGCATAGTCGGCTCCTTGCTGTGGCTCCAATGAGTATCGTTCACTCGAATTAATGTCGTCAGAGCCAATTGGATTGATAGCACCAATTTCGTCCTTATCGGGAGCATCTTTAACTGTTGGCTGGACTCTCGACAAGGATTATCGGGAGCGTTCGGGTGTTGCGCCTCTCGATTCAATTTCTTCTGGTGTTACTTTTGTTGACCTCTCTAGTGGCCCGATCGTTGGACTCGTTAAGCTGACCGAACGAATATGCGTCTCGTTCTTCGTATATTGGGTGCCTAAGGTTTGTGAAGATCCAGGCCGAGTCGAGGTATATTGGTGGTCATCGTTTAAATCAATGGCGGAGTCGTGAGAAGTCATATCCGAGTTGCTTGGTGAGTTTATGTTTAGGCTGTCCGGGAGGTACTTGTCGAAATCGTTCGGGAAAGATTGATTAGTGTCGGCGGATATATCTAGAAAACAAAGGTAAATTAGGTTAAATCTTCTGAGACGTTGTATTTCTAGGCTTCTTTACCGGACGAGTTTTGGTCGTTCGGTGGAACCACCGAGTCTGACGATACTGTAAGATGGCCTTGATTTGGGCTACCATCGATGGCCGATGAGAAAAATTGTCCAGAGCTGTTGTGCTTCACCTTATAATCGATTAAATAGTCTGTATTAGCTCGAATCTGCTCGTAAAGGCCTATGACCGTTTCTATAGGCAATATCGATTGAAGTTTATAAGAGATGCGGACTGCGTCTAGAATCTATGACAGTGTTAATAAGTGTTAGGTCCTAAGTAGAGTTAAGCCTACCTCTTTCTCTGAATTGTCTCTAGGTAAGAAGTCGAAGCTCCCTTGTTCTCTATAGTGATTGGCCTAGAAGAGTCAGATGGTGCGAGTTCCGATTCGGTGGCTAGCTCACATTGAGAGAAATCTTGACCTGAAGCATTTTAAGGGTAAAGCTTCTAAAGAGGACTAAGGAATTCGATAGTAAGTGATAAACGGGATAACGAGAGCACTTAAGAGATCGCTGATGCACTTTGGGGGAGGAGGGGAGCAACGCTAACTGCGAGGACAAAGTGGGTGCCACTCTTTCTCGGCTTACCTTCGGCTCACCCTCTGCTCACCCTCTGCTCACCTCCTCTGATCGTGGGATTTATTGTGTTCGTAGAGTCGAAACATATGGGATAGAAGGATTTACACAACATTTTGCAAGTGGCTGAGGATATGAAAGGAACTTCACGACAATTTGACGAATTCAACCTCTATAGTTGAAGTGAATGACCATATTCTTTGGTCCTGTTGTGAGTTGTCAAAGGAAAGGAAAAATGATTCTTGTGAATTAATCATACGGGATTAGTTATTGTTAGCTAAAGCAGTTATTATGTGACGGGTATTGTAGACTAATGATGAACGTTAATTTACAATATAATTGCGGGGTGCTTAAAGCACTTAGGGAGCGCTCCCTGAGCGCTTAGGGAGCAAGGCAGGGATTATTCCTCCGGCAGAAAATGCAAATACGCCCTGGGACCTGGTTGTTGGACCTGGTATGAGTCATATAGTGCTGTCTGGCAGGCTTGGCGGGTCTTATCACGTTATTTCATTTCCCAATTTCGTCACGTGTGTTGATCAGTGCGTTATTGCACTTTTTCGTTGTCTACTGGCGCTTATCAAATACGTCCTGATTTAGGACCGCTTAATAAGCGAGCTTTAGCTGCCACTCGGCGAGGCCCTTATCGTCGGTTATTCACTGAGAGAGCTCTAGAAATAGAAAGTTTATCATTCCTTTACATTCTATGCCTATTGAGCGTGGGAATGTGACAATTTTCACTGATCTTAAGTTGCGCTATGACTGGCATACTCTAATATCCACTCCTATAAGATTTGTACCTGATCATATCCTTCGTTGCTTGTGTTTATCCTCGGTCATTAAGTACGACACTTGTCTTTCAATATCTATAGCTTATCGGGTAGGTCGATTCGACCTTTTGAGGCTCCGTTAGGTCAAGTTTTTCCTAGGTTTTCACTAGATTTGTGGATAGGACGAGGGTATTGAGACTCCTGTACTAGTAATTAGTCAGGATACCTGATTTAGGTACAAGAAACAATATGTACCAGATTCGAAAGGTCTCTGAGCCATTGGTTCTGCATGGAGGAATCAAATATATATATTTGCCTATTTTTTCGGATTCGGACGGCCATAAAGACATCGGATTTATATTCTAGGAAAAATTCCTTCGCTTTTTTGAACAAACTTCGCTTACGCCTATATCTTTGCTGAGATTTGGCTCTAACACTCTCTGACTGACGTTTTGCAACTATAGTTTCTTCAGTATAAAATATATACCGAAATGAATATAGTCTGGCTCGAGCTAGAACAGCCTATTATATATTCCTAGGCGGATCCCTGAGGGGCCATGGCAGTTAACTGAAGTGCACTCCCTGCCACCTCTTCCCATAGGGAGGCCCACCGCAGCGAAGGCTTCCTCAGTGACCGTTTATGATATAAAATGGGACTTATTCTCTTATCTCCGTTAGGTAAACCTGCCCCCTCCTTTCCTTCGAAATCGCAATCACATCGTTATATCTCCATATAGAGTATGGAGGTACCTGCCATTTACGCAATTGCTGCGGGCGGCATATTTCTGGCCCTGTTTCTGATACAAATCCGCTATGTCCTAGTTGACTGGATAGAATCATTTTTTGTTTTACTTTCTAGACATCTGACCCTCCCTGTCCTTGTTCGTAGGCATCGAATCCTTGGACCATGGACCCGAGCTGGTATCCTCGTTCATGTCTCTTACATCGCCGTCAATATCGCTCTGGTCTTTTTGCGTACTGAATCGCTGGTAGACTCGGGCCGCCGGGTAGGCGAGCTGGCCCTTATCAATATGATCTTCCCTCTATCAACAGCCTACCTTGGTTTCCTGGCCGGACTGCTTGGAATCACCTGGCGTACTTGTCGTAAGATCCATCGAGCAACCGGTTGGATAGCTGTTGCTCTGCTGTTATTCCACATTATCGTCGAACTTTAAGGCAAAACATCTAGGTTTCCTCTCGCTGAGATATAAAACCTGCTCACTGTGATCGTATGCACCCCTCTCTATATATTGTGGATTTGGCCTTGCTAATAGATGTAGGGTGCTTCTGCACTCGGTATCCTAGCTCTGTTTTCTATTCTATACTTTCGTCGTTGGTCTTATGAAATCTTTCTCCGAAGCCATTAGATACTTGCCGGACTTTTTGTCTATGGCACCTGGCAGCATTTTCCTACCCCTACTAGCTCAGCGAGACTGTACGTCTATGTGGCACTGGGCATCCTGGGGCTAACAACGCTTCTGGAGTTAGCGAACTATTTATATCGCAACGGGATATTTTCCGGCCGTGGTGCTCCTCGAGCCCTTGTATCATTCTTAAGTAAAAAAATACCAGGGGAAAGCGTCCCTAGAATCACAGCTGCAAATATCCAAATCATCTTACCTCGACCAGTGCATGTTGAGCCTGGTCAATATATCAACCTCTGGATGCCGTCGGTAAGTTTGTGGTTATGGACTCAGACGCACCCTTTCACCATTATATCCTGGTCTAGGGGTAGACAGGATACTTTGAAGCTACTTGTGCAACCTCGAAATGGCTTCTCTGCAGATCTCGTACGCTATGGTGCGCTGCCCACGGATAGCTCGGTATTATTCTTAGCCTTATTTACCGGACCTTATGGACTTACCGAAGACGTCGATCCCTACGAAACCACCCTGATAATTGCGACCGGATTTGGGATCGCGACTTCGATCCTGTATCTCAAGAAAATGATTCATGGCTACAATATATGCACGTCCCAAACTCGCCGACTGTATCTGGTCTGGTAGGTAGATTCCATCGGTATGTGCATTGACTACGGTCCTTCGTCCGACCGAAGCTAATGAGAAAGAAATGGTGAGTACGGCCGAAGAGTAGATCAATGATGTCCTTGAAGATGATATTATAGATAAGGGTTATGTTGGTTGAATCTTCTATAGAGTTTGTCCTTGTCACTGATGATATACTACGCTAGATACTCAGTATATCTATTTACGTGGAGCACGGTCTTGCAAATAGCAGAATACCGGTTGGAAAATATGAAAGGATATGCTATTACCAGGGCTTACCTGATTATCGCAAAATAATCTTAACCGAAGCATCTGGGAGTCAGATAGAGAGACTGCCGAACATCCCGGATGAGCTAGGTCGAACACTTGTAATGGGTAAGCAGATTTCTATCAACTCGTGGTTATTACTATTTCTAATATTTATATAGTTTCCGCAAGCGATGGTCTTAGAGATCGCTTACGCGATATTGTAAGAGGCTATCTCCACCAGGGTGTTGAGCTTTCAGAGCTGGAATATCAGCCTGAGTAGGAAAACTACGCGGATTATTACGAATTTCGATAACGGATGCGCGGATGCTGTTAGAATAGTTCATAGTTTAGAAATCACAATTTATTCGTATATTTTGCAAAGTTTATCTTCCTTTTCTTGATGTTGGAGAGACGTGTAACAAAAATTGACCGTGGTCCGTTTCAGTCAAGGTAGTGGTGCTAGCTGATTGGCTATATGCCCTGATTTCGATGCGAGGTGCGAGCGGGCAAACTTCGTGGGTTTAGGGGTCCGTTAGAGATTCTTGCGTAAGATAGCGCTCACTCATATCACCCTTAACTTCCTCTTGGGGTGAGAACCTTTCTCTCGCTCTGAGAAATTCTATGCTTTCGTGTGTCAAAAAGTTTCTGGGCGCGTGCATCATGAGTCTTTCTTGCAGCGACCTGGCGCTTGCGCCCCTGTCCTTCCTGGCGGACCACGATTGCGCCGATTTTAACGATTTCAACGATTTCAACGTGGTTTTTTAGAGACCCTCCTTTTTTGGAGGGTCGGTCGCCCTAAAGCCCTTATAAAACCCTTTGCCGCCTCTTGCTTCCCTCTTCTTCTAGGAAGTCAGGCTGGTATTCTCTCCTTGGCTGCTAAATAGCGTCCTCTCCTTCCGTGTCGAAATTTATCAGCAACAGCTCGCCTTCATTTCCTTATCTGTCATACCTGGATGCCTTTTTGAGCTGTTAAAATCTCAATGACATTTCTCTACGTCGGTCTCTAGGTAAATGCCCATTCTTTAACTTAATAACTTTCCTCTTATTTATTCTAAAGGATTCTTACCCGAAATGCGGTCAAGAGTGGAATGAAGATGATTCCTCTGATGTAAGTGAACCTCATATCGCTTGTGAACGGTGCTCATCAAGGCTAGCTGGTGAACCATTTTGGCAAAAGCCTGGAAAAAGTCGGACTATTAGATAAGGGGCAGATGGCGGAAGTCTTGGAGCGCGCTAAATGGGCTGGCTTTACCCGATGGCATATGCTGACTGCCCTCGATGGGTCGTGTTTCTCGTCAACGTATCGAACCGATTGCTATATCTCGTTTGGTGTCACGGTCAAATTCGAGGTGAGCACTCTCTCCCTAGGCACTCATAGGTGCTGGCAGCTGACGTATCAGGAACACGATGCGGCGATGAACCCTTTCACTTTGGATAGGAAGTATCTTTCAGCTATAAGTCACTCTATATAGTTACTATTCTTCGTTCTAACTTTTGGTAGCTCGTTCGGCGCTTTGGGGCTGATTTGGAACAGCTTCGGAAGTTGACGAGGCCTCAGATGTATACAGTGGCTATTGGACTCGAGTCTGCTGGATTTGTGGATGGTTTTCTGGTATTAGAACCCATTTAGGATAGTTTGGTATCATTAGGTAATACTGACTTCGATAACGTATTTCACAAGCGAGCCGCCCACACAAGCGAGCCGCCCACCCCAACCAACCTACTAATTTCAATCATATATATGTCAACCATAACTCCATTAAATTGAATATACTAAAATAAATCTATCTAGCTGGGCATCTATTAAATCTATGCTCAGTTGATCTGCACCCACTACACCTTGGTGTAGCCCGCGTACGTGGTTCTAAAGCCGGTTCTTCATGTATGCCGGCACCGGCATGGGGTGCTTCATCTGCTTCCACTAGCTCAGGAATCAATTGAGAAGCTTCTTGTACTAAGAGGCCTTCTTCTGTAGGTATCTGCCTCCGGGATCTAGTACGCTTTTGCTTCTGCTTCTCGTTGGCGGCGCGTAATTCCTTGTTTTCTTTAGCGAGTAAGATAGCACCTTGCATTGTAAGACGGAAGCCTTTCACAAGCTGGTTTAATGCACGATCTGACGGGCTAGGCGGGCTTCGAGATCTTGTACGAAGTAAAGCTTTAATTGATGAAGCTTGTCGACGTAGGTCTTTCTCTGTAAAAGGGGTTTTTGGGGTAAAATTCCGGCTTGATTCACTACCCCGGCTGGTAGGGGGGTCGGGGTTCGGAGCCGGATATTGAGCTTTGAAATCACTCGGTCGGGTCCAAATGGTACTAAACCGGCTGCTGCGAAGCTATTTTTAATCGTCTCCGATTTAAAAGCTTCAATTCGTGCGTGGGGGTATGCTTCGAGGAAGTCAAGTTTATCAATATAGTTGATCCTATTCCGCATCTTGATTTCAACCATCCGACCGTACGTACGTTTTAACACCGCAAAACAACCAATATCAAGAGGTTGTAAAAGATGAGATGAATGAGCTGGCATACAGATTGGTATCACCTTATTTTGCTCACAAAGTTCATCAAATTTAGGTGTTAAATGACTTCCGTGGCCGTCAAGTATTAAGAGCCGGTATACCCCCTTCGTACGTATAGTACTAGGAATAAAGAGCTTTTCAAGCCAACGAAGGCTAATTTCATCGGAAGTCCAGCCATTAGGACTAACTTCAAGACGCCAATCCTCCGGGAGGCCGTCGAACCATGATTCAATAAAGACTTTGCCTTTAAAGATTATACACGGAGGAAGCACCCATCCAGAAGCATTTATACATTCAATTGTAGTCACCCATTCACGATTTCCAGGTTGTAAAACCGGCCTCCGACCGTAGTATTCACTCCTCGTAATAACCTTTGTAGTTGCAGTTAATCCCATTGCGAAGCCGGTCTCGTCAAAGTTATAGATATCGTCGGAATCGATTCCATATTGAAGGATTGTCTTTTGAACCAGATTAAACCACTCCATAATGATTTTAGGATCTTCACATTTCGCACGCTCGTAGTTATACCGTTTCGAGAATTGGGAGGAGAGGAGAGGACGCCTTTTAACAAAGTTCGTAACCCAATTTTGGCCGACCGAAAGAACCGGGGTAGTTCCACGCTTTTGAAGAAGAAGATCGGCCATTTCTCGTACCATAGAGGGCCGGGGGGCTGCTCCACGTAGATCCATAGAGAGAATCCATTTTTCAAGAGAATCCTCTTCAATTTGGGTCAATTTAAATGAATTAGCGCGTGTAGTACTTCGTTGAGTACAGCCGGATAGGCGGTCGCGTAAGGTTGTACGTGGTATATCAAAGCGGCGTGCTATTTCACGAATTGAAGAGATTTCTCGATTCTTAAAAGCCTGGATAGCTAGTAAGATCCTACCCTCTTGCTCTATTGAATCTTTAGAGCTTCGGGATCGAATTGGTGGCATGGTAGGTGGTTGAATTGACTAAGTGCTAATCTATGGACGCGTTTTGGTTGGGGTGGGCGGCTCGCTTGTGTGGGCGGCTCGCTTGTGAAATACGTTACCGATCTTTCTCGCCTTATCTAACTATTCACCGTCTTTGAAGGGAACTGCGCCACCGATGCTATTCAACCCGCTCTATGTCTACCACCTCAGCCTCCTATCAGCCCTTGTCTAACACCCGACGCATTATCAATGTTCGCTGATTCTCTATCGCGGATGGATAATCTGAATTCACCGGAGACTTCCTGTCCGAATCTAGACGAAAGCACGCTTCCTAACTCGGAGCCAGATACCGCGATAGCGTCGCCCATACCTGTCTTCGCGCCTGGTTTCGATAAGGGCCTTTTATGCTATCCGACGCCGCCTTCTTTTGACGTTGAAGAACTTAGTGTGAGGCAGCAACCTATTCCCCTGGAATTTAGACGGCTCTCGGATACTCAAGCAGAAAGCATGAATGAGCCCATCAGCACCCGAGAGGACCATCCAGTCGTTCCAATGACGCTTAATTCCTCGGAAGAAAGCTTAAAATGTTTACTACGTTCTTGCGATGCTACGCTCGATGACAATCGTACTTAGGGCATTCTCGACACTAGCGCCGATTCCCTCTTCGCGAAGGATCTTGATCAAATACTACGTCCACTGTTTGACTATTGGGATTCCTATAAGTCACTTGAACTGCCGGCTCTGGGACTTCCAGTACAATGGAGAGGCATAGACGCAGCTGCGGACTACCTTCGAATGCTTGATTACGAGCAGAAATCACCTTATTTGAACCCCATCGCAAAGCGTATCGGGCAGGTATTACTATACTTCAATTACGAGGAGCTTTGCAGACACCCAAACAGGCACCTTTCCTGTTCCTCGTCAAAGGCCAATACAACTCAAGTGCTGAATAGTATCCTCGCTGCTTATTGGGACGATCCCCGCTATTCGAAATCACTGCAGTGCCGGCGCGATAGGGTAACAGGCTACCATGTTCGCCGCGGCAGATGGTGGTGGAGGCTTGCAGGTACTCTAGGAGTCGGCATACTTTTGCTGGGCAATACTTCTTTGGTTGACGTCATGTATGTCCGCCGTTGGTTCATCGCGTGGTTTGGCTGACCCGTATAAATAGGTGCAACAAGTCGTTCACTAATCCTCAGATTCAAGCTTTCGTCGCTTTCTCTCAGAAAACACGCCCGGGGACTGTGCGTACATTCGAAGCGTCAGAGTCTATAGTAAAATCTCTTATGTTTGGACAAGTGACGGACGATCTTCATGAACTTCTCTTCAACAATGATGCCGGTCTCCTCCGGCCAGCAGAACTAGTGCGCATTCAGAATGAGGACGAACAAGCATTAAAAGTTCAACTTTCCCAGGATTTCTGGGAAGCAGTGGACGCCGAAAAGTATGCAATGCGCAAAATGACGAATCTTCTCGGCTGGGATTCCGACAACGTAGCACTAATGTGACGAGTGACTCCCGAAGTCGTGAATCTTTTAAATAAGCACAGATAAAGCATCAATCGTTGATTCCCCCTCACATTATACTATTGTTGCCGAATGCTCTTGTCGTACCTGAAATTTTTGTTCTGCTGTCATACACGAAAGACTCAATTTGTTTCTAAAGCTCAGTTACAGTATAACTGCAATATATGCCACGTTAAATGTCCTCTCTTGTCCCAACTGCTTCTAAAGACTTTAGACTGTGCACCCTAACCTGCTCCCATCCTTTACGCTGGATTCCCGTTTTAATTCTGTGTGTACGAGTAGAACGTACGAGCGGATATCAGAGCAAACCAGGCCAGGCCGATGAGATCGCCGGGACTCCACCGAATTTCTGTCAAAAAGGGTTGCTGAAAAACAGTAAGCGAGTTCAGAGCGAAGTTACTGGGCGGCTCACAAACCTTTTTCAGTTCTTCAAAGGAGCTGGCTGAGGTAATCGCAGAAAGAAATTCTATGGCAGCTGGACAAGCTGACCAGCGTTCAAGATCATCAATACCGACTGCCCCGTCGTCCTTGGCGTATTTTTGCATCAACTCCATCATGATTCTCGACACAGGCGCTAGGTCACTCGTTTGGACTCGGCTTGTCTGCCAGGGGATACAGCAATCAACCCGCGCTGTTCGTTCTGTCAGGCAACATTTCCGAAGAGGCGTCCTTGCATTCGGCTTACCGATCTTGACCTCCCCACTAAGATTCATGAGAATGCTGGAGCAATCCAAAGAAGTATGACGGAAGCCCTGGGCTACCAAATGAGCTAGTCCTTCCAGAAACTGCACTCTGTCAACGGTTCAGTCGTTCTGTGAAAAGATGTTTAAGGCACAGACCTGGGACATAATAGCAGCCAGCTGTTGCTGGTCTGGGAAAGCCTTGCAAGCAACAATATGATCCAGTGACAACGGGTCAAATTCGCTTAGAGTGTACAGGGAACCAGAGGTGCAAAAACATTCCCAGACGGAAGCAACATTCTTATGATTTGTCGAACGGAGAACTTTAAGGATTTTGTCGCAGTCTATGCTTGAGAATTGACGAATCGCCCGTGCAGCACGCCCATCGGAAGACCGGACGCATACAATAACTGTTCCAGCTAGATCACACTCGTAGTGTTTCTTGTAAGTGTCCCAAGGGGACTCGTTCCGCAAATTAAAATCCGAGCTAGTACGGCTGTTCGCTTGAAGAGCCAAGGCTCGTGGCGAACCTCTGATGACCTTGCCGCCAGGCTCTGGAGGTGAGGATGGAGGGGATTTAGTTGGGTGGGAACTAGGAACGAAATTGCCAGACTTCGATTTGGGGTCGGAAAATTGCGATACTCCTTTATTCTCGGATAGAAGCAGTGCAACCTGAGACGGTTGGACTCTTGTAGCTCGATTGTCAGCATTCGACTTCATGATGGAGCTGCTCACAGTTGGATCCAGGTGAGAAAGTAAAGAAAAAATAGCTTTGCAAAGCATTACTTGTAGTCTTTTAACGACTCCCTGACGTGATGTACTGCGGGTTACTGAGGGGCCCTGTAGGGGTGGGGCAACAAAGAAGTACCACGCTAGGCAGATTGGCTGAATTTGGCCGGGGCAAGTATAAATAAAGCTCGATCCTGAGTTATGCCGTGAGATCCTATTCTTTCCTGTTGCTTTATCTTGCAATGAGCCGCGTTTTGTTTACCGAAGAAGAGGTGCAACTGGCAAGTAAGCGGCAACTGAAATATATTGGAACAGCGAAAGTCAGTATTAGTCAAATCCAATTCGATCCTCCTTTGCCTCGGGATCTAGATCCTAAAAATTTGGATCGACTTCGTAGGGTCTTCCGCTAGAACCATTGTCGCCGTCTGGATGTTGACAATCATGTCCCTGCTATCGTGTCGCCACATGATCTCGCTAATGCGTTGAGGAAGGCTAACATATCACAGCAGTCACTATTAACGACGGATGCTCGTTAACTACCTAGAATTAGTTTTCTGGACGGGCAGTTACTTGGGCTTTATGGTCGTCACTGTGTCTAGGCCGGAGCTGAGGTGCTACCTCCCGCTGATCGTTGGTGGACGGTGGATCTTTACTCCGATGGTAACTATGCCGAGAAAAGATGGCTAATTATGTGCTAACAATTATGGTAGATATTGGCGTAGAGCTCAGAACTTCCTTGGTGGAGGAATACGCCAACGAAAGGAAGCCGACCGACGGTGAAATCTATCGTAAGATTCGACAATACGAGGGCGATTACGATGAAACCTTCCGGGAGCGATGGTTTGTACGTCTATCGCGCAGTAACTAAGAGCGTTTGGATCAGTTGGATAATAAGAAAAACCGCCGCATTCGAGGTGCTTTTGATAGGCTATTGACGATTCCTGGGCTTTGGCCGGGGGGATGAGAATCAGTGTACTTTATAGACTGATAGCTTCCGGATGTATTGAAGTGAGTTCTAGAAACCTGGCTTCCTTCTATCCTTGCTGATTGAACGCTTCGTTCGTTATAGGAGACTATAACTTATCTGTACCATATCTGGGACTTCTGGTCCTCCCTGGTCGCTTCGGACCACGCCTTACTGAAGAAGATCGACTAGAATACCGTGAATTCCCTGCAGCTGCTGGCGCCCGGTAAATCACGTACTGATGGGGGAACTGCCTGTGGAATGATCCTAAGCGGCCAAGCTTTTGCCGAGTTTAGCGACGAGGAGCGACGGATCATATGGTCCCGAATGTAGAATTTTGATGGCCTGATCCCGTCTTTGTATACCTTTTTCGAAGACTTTAAGTACCTGGAGGCCTGTGCCCACTGTGTTAAGCGGCTCTGTGGTCTAATCGATATGTCGATCTGGAGAACCATGAGTTCAATATTCATTCTACCCTCAGAAGAGGGAACCGCGACATTAGGAGCAGTGGATTCGCTTATCTAGACATCAGAGTCTACTTTCCGACGCTAATAAGCAACTGATATAGAACGCCTCGAGACAGGATATCTACAAATATAGCTTTACGCGATGAGACACTATACCTTGATGCCCCCGGACCTAAAGAGCGATGACGAGTTGTTAGCAAAATCAACTCGTTCTAAGCCCGATGAGAGGGCGATTTACGAGATGGCTGAACTCGCTCACTAGCTTGGCTTTCAGTCCACTGAAATCGATGCACTGATTAAGAGCTCCCCCGATCATCAGATCGCACGATCGGCTCTCCTATAAGCCCGAAAGCCCAACCGGTATCGATACGATAGCTAGGATTTTGATCTTTTGGTCAATTAGATTGTAAGCTGTTTCGCCAAGGCTATTTCCGACCGACTGGAGCAGCCTTAGGGTCTTCTGGCGGATAGCGCAATGAAGCTAAAGACCCGTGCCGGGGAACCCCAAACACGGACTCATAAGCAAGATGGACCCTTGCTTTTCTTGGACCGTTTGTACGCTGATGTTGAGGTTGCCGACAATGTCACTAGCTTTTTCGTCCGCCGTTGTGTATATTTTGCATTTTTCGGAAAGTCTGCCTAGGTTGCGACTAGCAATGTTAACTAAGCTGAGGACAATGATCTAGATCAAGGGATGGAGGAGATGCCTCCTTCGCCAATGTTTGTCGAAGAGGACGGCCCCCCTGTTACTTATACGCCCGCACCAGACCCCTATCTACCTCACGAGTAACAGGGGGAGCCACAGCAGCAGATAGCTGAAGTGATTATAGGGCGAGGAGGCAGTGGAAGTCAGCAGCTATTGCGGACGGACTAAAAAGAAAACGCGAGGCGTCGACGAAGGCGAAATTATCAAATATACCGAGCTGTCTCGCGCCCGGCGGGGGATATGGACTAAGAGCCAATGGAGTTGGAACTGCTAGACGTAAATCATGACTAGGTTATGTTAAACCAGAGCAGTTCGCCTGAAGAAAATTCTATGTCAGTCGGGCCTTAAAGCCAGCCGGAGCCGGTCGAACTAGCGACGGCTATCACGCTTTTTTCCCCTGCCTCTGCTGTGCTAGATGTTGAAGACAGTAGGAGTGACTGTATACGAGTCTCCCTAGACGTAGTTCCGCTCGTAGAGGACCAGGAAGAGCAAAAAATGGCCGAAGAGGCTAATAAAGACGATGCTCCAGACGAGTAGACACGGGTCGACGGTGAAGTTCGGCGAGTTTCTCCAGAATCAGAGGCAAACAATTCCTTAGTGTACAGCCAACCCCCACCGGAAAATCTAGATGAATTTCTTGCTAGTTTAAGAAGAGCTCAGGAAGAACAGGAACAATTAGAAGAGAGGTTGGAAAATGAGCGGCTTTATTAGGAGCTCGGCGAACTAGAGCAACCACGGAACGGGAAGCCTTCTCCACAAGAAGACAGACAGGATTTATCGCCACTGCGCCTTAAGTACCGATCCGAGGAACCCGCGTATAGGTATGTCGTGGATGCCGTAGTGGCTTCAGACGCCATTACCTACGAAGCGTTGGTAGAACCTCTACGCCTAGGAACGCTAGGATCTGCGATAGATCCCCACCCCACTCCTCCAGTTGCTGAAGATACCTCTGTCCCAGATTCCTCCGTGGCCGGTCTTATGCCCTTAAGGGCGGTCGAGCAGCGGCCCCCTCAACAGTACATTGAGATCGAGCTCTGGTCCCTTGAACGAGGAGAGTGGAGACGGTCAGACCGGCTCCGCGTCGATCCGTTAGATCCATCGCCGCTAGAACGAGTCGCGCAAAAGTATTTATGGAAGAATTATTCCCTATACGATAAGAATTTGCACAACCTGAGGCCAGCCCAATGTTACCGTGCAGCGACAGCTGATGGCAGTAACGCCTTCTTCATAGTTTCCGAGTATGAGGAGAAGAAGCTTGCGGCAGAGGGTCGAGTTGTAAAGGAGAAGAAACTCCTAGGTATGGCATCTCGAGTATTAGACCGGGTAGAGGGTGGAAGGTATCCTAGGTTCTCATGAGATACTCCTTTCAGGTCCTTAATAGACCTATGTGGCTTGAAATAAGAGCGTACTGCAGACAAGATATATGACACCCTGAGAGGAATCTAATAGGTGTGGTACTGAGATGAAAGACTGCTTTTGTGTCTATGATAGAGCTATGCAGAGTATCCTGTAAATGGTAACATAAAAGGACGTTGATAACAGATTGTTTTTAGCTAGCTCATTTCAGGAGTCAGGATCACATAAAAGGCAGAGAATAAGAGGCTCTTTCCGAGAGGGCTCAGCATATGGGAAAATCCTCTTGAGAGGGAATCAGTCACAGTTGGGCCTGCTGAAGAGCATAGGCGACATAGAAGGCTACACGTCATATGAACTGGCTCTTCGTGCCACTTCTCTTCTAGTCCAATCATTCTAGGCCCAGACCAATCCTGAGATGGTCTAGAGGTCACCATACGGGTTGCGACCGCCGGTTTAGCCGGACGCTGTTCAGTGAGGACTGATTTCATTGGATCATCAGCCTGCTGTAGCAGCGGGTCTCTGCGGTGGCTTTTATTGGATGTCAGTATAGCAGCGCTCTGGGGACGCTAGACAGTACCTTATCAGATATAATCCATCCTAATTTGGGGAATTATCTTCGGCAATCTCGTCAATAAAAATACAGAACTTGGAGCAGCCTCAGTGATGCGACCACGTTCTGAGTGACACGTGGTAGTTTGGTTATTCGACATATGCATGTCGAGAACACGTCGCAGACTACCCTGCACTTGCATGCATGAACCGCATCACCGTTCCTTCCCCTCATCATGAGACCTAGTTTGTTGGCTTCGAAACTAAATACGGAAATATATAAGCCCTGTCTTCTCTTGACACAAATTGGAGGCCAGTCGGTTTTTCGGTCCTTCCAGACGCCCTCGAGCCAGTGTATCAAAGCCATATTTCGTTATGTCTTCGATCGATTCATCATCCTTGGATTCAGGCAAGCATGATTCCTTGCCTTTGGTCAATAGTGGCAGCCTAGAAAATTTCATCAAATATATGGGTATACTAGCGTCAAGCTCTGAATCTCAGTTCGCATCGGCCGTGCTTGGCGAGATCACCCAACAGCGTGAGCAGAATCACTTCCAAGATGAAGAGCTGAAAAAGCTTCGAAGGGAGATTCTCGAAATCAAGGAAACAAAAAGAACTACGGTTGAAGATATGTTTCGCTTGTGAAATACGTTAGAGTTGTCAACATTGGTCATCTATACCATACATTGTTCGTACACCAGCTTTCTGTCAGTTAGTTTAGGGGTTGGTTTCTGCAACGGGGGTACAGTATGTCCGGAAATCGGTGTCATCCCCATACTCTTTCATTGTTCCCCGAACCATAAATGCCAAGATACACTAAGCTACTTTCGGACAAGCTACATCAGCCTCATTTGTTATTGGACCGTACCGTAAATGACCGGATTATCGTATTGGCGGGGAAATTGTTTATTACCTGTAAGGCCAAAAGTTGCAGCCTGAGGCCCCACATTTAACTTCCCAATCCCCACACTGAGCGGTGCAACGAACCATGGCTCCTAACTTAGTAAGGTTTAGCGCCCGGCGGTCACCTGAGAGCGGGGCAAACGGTAACCATGACTTTCAGGTGGAACTTTCGCTCGGCTCAGCGCAGCCCCATTTTACGCACTGAATATTCAGCATGAGCTCGACATCTTTTGGCAGTGCGAACACGGGCGTTCAACTTGTCAATAACCATGGGACAATTAATATTTCATCTGGTGTGTGTGTCAAAGTCCCTGGAAAGCCGTGATAAGTTGACTAACACTTTTTGGCCCAGACCGGCCGGAAAATCCTGTACAGACAGACAACGGTTCGCTCCGCCCTGTACCAGTCAAAGAAAACCTGACTTACCATGGATGCAGAGCTGCTCAGATCACTAGCATTCCCACAGATGCTAGATCGGAGGGACAATATCGAGCTATGTCACACGAATACCTGCCAATGGATTTTAAATCTAGACGAGTATCAGTCCTGGAGAAATCAGCCTTGTGGTCTACTATGGATTAAGGGCAAGCCGGGTGCGGGCAAATCGACCTTGATGGTTTTCCTGCACGACAGACTCAAAGGATTACAGGACGGGAGCCAGGGTATCATTCGGCTCGACTTTTTCTTTACCGCTCGGGGCGTGGAGATGCAACGTACACCGCTTGGAATGCTTAGATCGTTATTGAACCAGATTTTCGACCGTGACGCGACCGTACGCCCTCAGGTGCGCGAGATCTATGAACAACGATGTAGGCAGTTTGGGTACGGAGAACGCAAGTGGGAATGGCCGCAAACGATCCTTGAAGAGTTATTGGCAACTACTATCCTGGCATCAGCCAACGAGCAGCCTGTGACTATCTTTGTGGATGCTCTAGATGAGGCTGGGGCCGAGTCCGCTCAAAAGCTTGCAGCATATTTCCACCGTCTTGTTGATCGTGCTGACAAAAAGAAGCTACCCCTTCAAGTCTGCATCTCATGTCGACACTATCCTATCTTGGAAAGTGCCCGGGCAAGAGCGATACATGTCGAAGACCACAATCAAGATGATATTGCTACATATATCAAGGATATGCTTCTTGAGACAGAGTTGGGAGATATACCTAATCAAGAGATGAGAGAGGTGTTGATAGAGGAATTGACCCAGCATACCAAAGGTGTGTTCCAGTGGGCCCATCTTATAATGCCCCTTGTCAAGCAAAAAGTTATCGAAGGGGAGTCAATCAGCGATATCCGTGATTGGTTGGGAGATGTCCCAGCCGATCTAGAAAACGTCTACATATATATCCTGAGCAACGTGATCACGGCTAGGAATCGAGACCAGTCATTCCTATTCTTTCAATGGGTGTGCCTGGCCGAGCGGCCCTTGACTATACTTGAAATACGATACGCATTGGCGGCTAAGAATGCTCAAATAAAGTCGTCTCAAATTGAATGGAAGAAGCTCGACGGCTTTGTTAAAAGCAATGAAAGCATGAAGCGCAGAGTGAAGGCTCTTTCTGGTGGAATGGCAGAAGTAGTCTCAAGTGGGAATGACAAGGAGACCGTACAGGTGGTTCACCAGTCGGTCAATGATTTCTTGCGGGCAAAAGGACTGGCTCTTTTATACCGTGGCATCAGCGCTAGTATGGGGTCCGTGGATATGGACAATATTCTCTTTCAGTCTCAGGCAACTCTGTACCGATCGTGCCTAGTATATCTTGCTACGATCTGTTCGGACAAACAAATGAGTAACTTTGGGGGCTCAAAGGGGAAGCTTGTCAGTGATCACCCGTTTCTGAACTATACGACTATCAATCTCTTTGTTCACGCAGAAAAAGCTGCCGGCTCTCGAGGTGCCTTGCTGCACAATGAAAAAGAAATCCTTCAACGAATGATCAGTTCTTGGGTCAAAATCTACCAACACCTTGATAGTTATAACAAAGCATGTCCACCCACAGGCACAACAATTTTACATATGGGTGCCGCTGCCAATTTGGTTGACGTGATAACATCTGCGTGGGCGGATGATGAGGATATAGAGAAGAAAAACAAAGCTGGGGATACAGCGTTGCATTTCGCAGCACGAGCAGGGCACACAACGGCCGGCAAAATACTGCTGGAAAGAGGAGCAAACCGAGAAGCGAAAAATAACGATGAGGCGACTCCTTTAATTGAAGCGGCCAAGCATGGACACTTGGGATTTGTGGGATGGCTTCTGAATAAGGGGGTGGAGATTGAGACAGAAGGTGGGGCCGCGCTACAAAAAGCTTCATTGGAAGGTCATAATACAATTGTAGAGATCCTGCTCGATGCCGGGGCCGATGTCAACGCCCAGGGTGGTGGATACGGCAATGCTCTACAGGCCGCTGCTGCTTCATTGAGGAGGACGGCTGAGACGGTCAAGATCCTGCTTGACGCCGGGGCCGATGTCAACGCCCAGGGTGGTAAATACGGCAATGCTCTACAGGCCGCTGCTGCTTCATTGAGGAGGAGGGCTGAGACGGTCAAGATCCTGCTCGATGCCGGGGCCGATGTCAACGCCCAGGGTGGTGAATACGGCAATGCTCTACAGGCCGCTGCACGGAGAGGCAGTGCTGAGACGGTCAAGATCCTGCTCGACGCCGGGGCCGATGTCAACGCCCAGGGTGGTAGATACGGCAATGCTCTACAGGCCGCTGCATTGAGTGGAAGTCCTGAGAAAGTCAAGATCCTGCTCGACGCCGGGGCCGATGTCAACGCCCAGGGTGGTGAATACGGCAATGCTCTACAGGCCGCTGCTGCTTCATTGAGGAGGAGGGCTGAGACGGTCAAGATCCTGCTCGATGCCGGGGCCGATGTCAACGCCCAGGGTGGTGAATACGGCAATGCTCTACAGGCCGCTGCATGGAGAGGCAGTGCTGAGAGGGTCAAGATCCTGCTCGACGCCGGGGCCGATGTCAACGCCCAGGGTGGTGAATACGGCAATGCTCTACAGGCCGCTGCATTGAGTGGAAGTCCTGAGACGGTCAAGATCCTGCTCGATACCGGGGCCGATGTCAACGCCCAGGGTGGTAAATACGGCAATGCTCTACAGGCCGCTGTATCCAGTGGAAGTCCTAAGAAAGTCAAGATCCTGCTCGATGCCGGGGCCGATGTCAACGCCCAGGGTGGTGAATACGGCAATGCTCTACAGGCCGCTGCTGCTTCATTTAGTAGGAGTGCTGAGACGGTCAAGATCCTGCTTGACGCCGGGGCCGGTGTCAACGCCCAGGGTGGTAAATACGGCAATGCTCTACAGGCCGCTATATTCAGTGGAAGTCCTGAGAAAGTCAAGATCCTGCTCGATGCCGGGGCCGATGTCAACGCCCAGGGTGGTGAATACGGCAATGCTCTACAGGCCGCTGCATGGAGAGGCAGTGCTGAGACGGTCAAGATCCTGCTCGACGCCGGGGCCGATGTCAACGCCCATGGTGGTGAATACGGCAATGCTCTACAGGCCGCTGCATGGAGAGGCAGTGCTGAGACGGTCAAGATCCTGCTCGACGCCGGGGCCGATGTCAACGCCCAGGGTGGTGAATACGGCAATGCTCTACAGGCCGCTGCTGCTGCTACTGCATTGAGTAGAAGTGTAGAGAGGATGAAGATCCTGCTCGATGGCGGGCCCGATGTCAACGCCCACGGTGGTGAATACCGCAATGCTCTACAGGCCGCTGCATTGAGTAGAAGTGCAGAGACGGTCAAGATCCTGCTCGATGCCGGGGCCGATGTCAACGCCCAGGGTGGTGAATACGGCAATGCTCTACAGGCCGCTGCATGGAGAGGCAGTGCTGAGACGGTCAAGATCCTGCTCGACGCCGGGGCCGATGTCAACGCCCAGGGTGGTGAATACGGCAATGCTCTACAGGCCGCTGCATGGAGAGGCAGTGCTGAGACGGTCAAGATCCTGCTCGACGCCGGGGCCGATGTCAACGCCCAGGGTGGTGAATACGGCAATGCTCTACAGGCCGCTGCATGGAGAGGCAGTGCTGAGACGGTCAAGATCCTGCTCGACGCCGGGGCCGATGTCAACGCCCAGGGTGGTGAATACGGCAATGCTCTACAGGCCGCTGCATGGAGAGGCAGTGCTGAGACGGTCAAGATCCTGCTCGACGCCGGGGCCGATGTCAACGCCCAGGGTGGTGAATACGGCAATGCTCTACAGGCCGCTGCATGGAGAGGCAGTGCTGAGACGGTCAAGATCCTGCTCGACGCCGGGGCCGATGTCAACGCCCAGGGTGGTAGATACGGCAATGCTCTACAGGCCGCTGCATTGAGTGGAAGTCCTGAGAAAGTCAAGATCCTGCTCGATGCCGGGGCCGATGTCAACGCCCAGGGTGGTGAATACGGCAATGCTCTACAGGCCGCTGCTGCTTCATTGAGTAGGAGTGCTGAGACGGTCAAGATCCTGCTTGACGCCGGGGCCGGTGTCAACGCCCAGGGTGGTAAATACGGCAATGCTCTACAGGCCGCTATATTCAGTGGAAGTCCTGAGAAAGTCAAGATCCTGCTCGATGCCGGGGCCGATGTCAACGCCCAGGGTGGTGAATACGGCAATGCTCTACAGGCCGCTGCATGGAGAGGCAGTGCTGAGACGGTCAAGATCCTGCTCGACGCCGGGGCCGATGTCAACGCCCATGGTGGTAAATACGGCAATGCTCTACAGGCCGCTGCTGCTGCTACTGCATTGAGTAGAAGTGTAGAGAGGATGAAGATCCTGCTCGATGGCGGGCCCGATGTCAACGCCCACGGTGGTGAATACCGCAATGCTCTACAGGCCGCTGCATTGAGTAGAAGTGCAGAGACGGTCAAGATCCTCCTCGATGCCGGGGCCGATGTCAACGCCCAGGGTGGTCAACATGGATCTCCTCTCTTGGCAGCTATTTACTCAGGCCATGCTGATCTTATTGAAATCCTTTTTCATGCTGGCGCAGATATTGGCCTTGCAGATGCGCTCGACCAGACCCCTCTTCACATTGCAGCTTCAAAAGATATGGCTCACCTTCTCTTTCGATTTCCGCAACTTGCGTCAGCTATCAACAAGCGCAACAAGCTCCTGCAAACCCCTCTCCACTTGGCTATCTGCTTTGGTCACATCCACTTTGCTATAAAACTTCTTCATCTTGGTGCCGACCCTTCTCTTCCAGACGGCTATGGCAGACATGCTATGGACTGGGCCATCGGGCAAGGAACTTTGATGCGGGAAATACTTGAACGTTGTCCTCGGCTCTCATTGACACCTCACAAAATTCAAGAATCAATTGTACAACAATCACTCTTCTACCTCTCCGATCATCTTCCTGGGCTCACCCCGAACTATGCATGGTTCATTTTGCAACAATTAGCTCGCTATTTCTTATTTCTTCATGACATCAACAACGCACGCCATCTCTTTCAGGTTTGCCTTTCTTATAATACCTCCCTTGCCACCCATATGTGCAAGGCTATATGCAATTTCTGTGATAGGCCTATCACTGGGCCTCGTTCTGTATGCAGAATCTGCGCGAATATGGATATCTGTTCTTCCTGTGTACTCAAGCACCCTTTTCATCACAGATTAAATCCAGATCAGAAGCACGAAGTCTTTGAGATGCCTGGCCTGCCTGATAACGAGTCTCAACTCACTGGACCAGTGTCACAGCAGCTGATTTACTTCCTCAATCAACATTCTTATGAGCCTCTCGGGGAAAACAATAACCAGTCTGAGATGAAGCCATCGAAAGATTCCTCATCTTTACTATCACGTGAAAAGAACGCCCTGGTTCTAAACACTTTGTTAAAACCGGTAGTAATATTCTCTGCGATCTTGTTCGGGCTGCTAGCTACTTTCTTAGGGTCTTGGTACTTTTAAAGCTGTTTTAACTTAGTCCGTATGCTCAGCATGTCCCTTTTTTACTGCACAGGCTGCAGGAAAAATACATCTGTATGGGGGGCTTCCGGCTGTAAACTATTCTGTTTCTCGTTTGTAGCTGAGAATCTTCTGTACAGCCTAATGTTTAGGAAATGCCAGTAGCTGTTCAGTAATGCAGCCATTCCCCTTGCTTTATTTTTATGAGTTTACGTATTTCAATATATATTCCAGCTAAGTGATTTATAAATGTGCAAAGCATGAATGTAGTAATAAGTCGAAGAGATACGTAAAATACATAGTGGATTAGACTATCGAGATATATAACCTATATGGGTCAAGTATAAACTTTGGATTCGATCGGAGGCCTACCGAAAAGAACTTATTAATACTAAAGCATACGTTAAAGATATTTCACACTCATGACGTGAATGTTACGGCTGTGAAGGCTGGCCAACAACAGAATCGAGGCAAGATCAGTGCTCTTGGCATCAGTGAGCAAAGGCTTGCTCGAGGGCCAAGAGCTGAAGTGGTTGGTGACAGTGGCCACCTTGTCTCTTCAGGGGTCTCCCGGTCAAATTTCCATACGCTTATATATATATACATATCCAGGGAAGGAATAGAGGGACTAACCACCGCCCATATCGGATAATTTGACCTTGAACCCTTCGGCGTAGCAAGTAAAGGGCACCAGTGGCTACGCAACGCAAAGATATTAAGGCGCCCATTTATCTTGTTTACCATCCAGCCTCTGTACCGGAGGCGAGATCGACCGGGCTTGCACATCTTCCTCTTGTAGGAGCAATTCCTCAGGGGTCGAGTCGACATCGATAAGAGGGAAGAGTATGTTTCCCGGCTAGAAGTCTCCATGGGCAATACCATTTTCATATAGAAATGCAAGAGCCTATAAGGATTGCTTAAGGATACTCTTTGCCATCTGAAGCGGATAGCGGATCTTCATTCCTCGCCTACGAGGTTTGAACTGCGGCAGCTCCTCGACTATCGTATTGACACTCGGGCCTATAGGCTCAAGTACCAGGCACTTGTGGAGGCCATTAGGTCCGCGGTGTTCGAATTCGTCCAGCAGTCGCGTGATATATCGGGACCCTTCTTCTGGTGCGTATTCGATGATATGGCGTAATATTCGTAGCTCAGTTGTCGATTCCGAGATTTCCGATATAAGTATCTTCAGGGCGACATATCGACTGTTACTAAACGAAATAAGTAACGATGATATATAGCGTCGGCAGTAGAAATACGAAAGATAGATACTTTAGGTCATGGGCGAGCCAAACCGTTGAGTAGGAGCCCTCGCCAAGCTTCCGGATGACCTTGTACTGGTGGTTGAAGACGTCGCCGAGAACGACTGGATAATAACCACCTGGCCGATAATCCTCCACCCACTCACAAGGTAATGTAATGGTTTTGAATCTCCGTTCGTCATCTATTAAGGCCCTTGATGGCGGAGTGGGAGGAGACGAGGTGCTCATAACCGCGATGGAGATGCGTCGTTCAAAAGTTGCAGAGGGGAATGTTTTGTAAGGGATTAAGGATTGTGATACGGAAGTCCAAAGGGTGCGTCGGGATTTGAAGCCCCACTCCAAAATCAGGAACGTCAACGGTACCTCTTGGTGTGATGTCCTTAACCGTATTCGTCTCCACAGTGGGTTCTTATTCGACCCCAACTAGGAATAGCGAGATGCTCTCTCGATGTAACGGTGGCTTATAGACGGGTTCTCAGCCAGGCAGCCATGCTGTCCCAGTGAGGATTGATTTCATTGGCTTACAGAGCTAGGGCCTAGCCAATCACTATAAAGAGCCACGAGAATCCTCTTCTAGAAAAAGAATATCGAAGAAAACCTTTGCTCTCTGCTATCCTACTATTGAATTGAAAAACACCACCGCCTTTGACAGATATCTTTCTATCTCTGAATACTCTCTACATAATGCGGCTTGCATATCATAATTAAGTTTGCCCTCATTTAGACAAAGATTGTTCCAATTCCTAACAATTGCGCAGAGTCCTGCAATCTGATCTCGTTCATTTTTTTGTTGGTAAAAACCAAAAGCAATTCTCAATTCACCAGGCATTGGAAAGTTCTTTTCCAAGAAAGGCCCTTGAGCCAGCAATGATCGAGAGTATTGATGAGGAAGTCTTTGGTCGTTGCTGTGAGTTTGTATACTCTGGGGATTACTCTGCCCCGTGTCCCGTTCCGCAATCTTCTGGGAACGGTACTCCGCAGCCAGAAAATAGGGAAACCCAATGCCAGGAAGAGGCGAGCAGATGGGATTCTTCTAGCCTAAATTGGAATCTCTTCCACCCAAAGGGGCTTTTGCTTAATTATGATATCCTGCTAGCAGAACTTGGCCATACACCACGATCAGGATCTGAGAAGGACTTAAGCAATGACCCTTTCACGAGCTATGCAGCAGTGTTTCTGAGTCACGCTGAAATTCATCGTTTTGGAATCAGAACAGGGTGGCTTTCTCTTATTCTCCTATCTTTCTATCGGTTGCTACGATTGCTTGAGAATTTTACTCTAATTGAAGAACGAACGGAAGACATCGTTCAGCTATTGGTATTTGTTTTTGAGGATAGTGAGTATATGAAGGATTTGGAAGTTATGCTGCGAGACTACATGGTCTGGAATGTGGAGATTTTAATGCGGAATGCCGACTTTAAAAGATTCCTGGGGCGAAACTTGTCGTTAGAACAGACCGTCTTTCGTTCAATGTGGAAATAAAGGTGAGCTTATAAATTGAATGTGCTGCGATCTCTATACCATCTTCCGTATATGTGGAGGTCAGATTGAAACCAATGACTAATATACGCTGATGCAGTTAGTTATAGTTAGCCAATGGTTTTAGTGTCAGCCTGAAAGGCGCAGCCCCCCCCCAAAGAACCTCGCAGTTAAACTGTCCCTTTTTACGCGAAGGAGCAAATCAAATAAGTCAGTTTGATGGCTTGCCATAAGCCCTTTTAAAGAGCTTAATTCTCAAGTGAGCCTGAATAAAAGATCCCTTTAAAATTTTGTCTTCGGAATATTTGACCTTCAAGAAAATTGCAGGGCGCAAATTTTAAGAGGCGGTATAATTCAAGAGATTGTAAAATCCATAGCCCGAAATTTTCGAGCCCTGAGAATATTCTATTATCCTGAATATTGTACACCGATAATTTTCGACTCTGGCGGTGTTAACCGGACATAAGAAATTGGCGTAATGGTTATAAGGTACAAAAGCGCAATGTGGATAAGGTGCATAAGGTGCATAAGCATACCCGTCTTCTACGACATAGATATACCCATTCCCCTATCATAATATTTAAATCTTTAAGTTCAATTATCTCACATTATCTGGCCACCTCACGAAATTGTAAGAAAACCAGAATATTCCATTGATTTCGAACTAACTATAAGATGTAGAGTGATAATCTTGATCCGTTGGACGACGTTGATATCGATGAGAAAGTTGAAAATAACCTGAGGGTCCACGACTGACACGGTCTTGACCCTTATCCTCTGATTATATATTGTAGACTTCACAGTGTTCATAAACTACAATCGTTCTTAAGCTGATGAAAGAGGATTTCGTGTAAAATTACTAAGTGAGCGTCGACCTCAAATTTGGTCTTGAGTAGAAAATACATGCACATCTATCCTGCAAATGGAAAGCATTTGATAAACCCCGAAAATTCTTTTCTACACACAGGGCATGGATCTCGATCAAGCCGTTCTTCGCATGCCTCACAAATCAAATGCCCGCATGCCCGTGCATGCCAACGATCCGGCTGCTCGTAGCAAATGTTGCAGTTCAGAATGCGTATTCGAGAAAGCTCCTCTTGATGCTGGTCTTTCTGTAGGAGAAGTTTGCTCTGAAGTTCCTCTTGATGCCGCTCTTCCTGTAGGAGAAGCTTGCCCTGAAGTTCCTGGACTTGCTTTTGCAGCTTTTCAACTTCTTGATCGAGACTTTCAACTTCTTCGTCAAGTGTCTTACGCAGCTTCTTAAAACAGGTATCCTGGTCCATCATTAGCTTAGGAAATCAGAGCGTCTCGGAAAAGCCATACCAGAGTATCACGTTGTTTTCCTTTGGCCCTTTTGCGTTTGCGTGATGGTTCTATTCTACCACTCGTAGCATCGGTTGGTTCGATCAGGATCCTAAGAGATGTGCGTGGAGATCTTCTTTGGACTTGTGAATCGGTTGGCCGCCAGCTTGGGGGTAGTTCGTTATCTTCAATAATAATCGTGCTTGACGGGCTGGTTATCGTGGCTTGAAAGGAAGAGAGGTGTACCTAGATGCTAGGTAGACCAGGTAGGAGGAAAGTAGAAGTCTGACTGAGCTAGAGTTAGGGCACAAGGCTCATTATATACCCGAGAGCCAATAGTTCGAGTGGGCTACTGCTAAGAGACGATTGGACACTACTTTGCGTGATTCATCGTATATATATATATAACCCGATTGGATTGCACAAAACTGAGATAGTATACATAAAGCATTAAGTGCTGTAAAGCACTTTATTATCCTAACCGCAATAAGGAGCTATTACCAATTCGGAAACTATCCCGTGCTCGTTCTCCTCGCTCGGCGGATTTGTATAGAACCTCTCTAGTCTATATTCTTACTGGATACGGCAAATGCGATTCCATTCCAAATTGGAAGTAAACGGATACCGAGTCAATGGCTTCGTTGATTTATAGCCGGCCTATTCTTGTTTTTGAAGGCCCTATATCGAATTCGGGCATCGCTAGCGACTCTTACGGGGCCTAGAACCAAGGCCTTATAGCTAGCTTTATGGCACTCGATATCTGTCCTAGAACCATACGAGCAAGCGGCTAAGAGTAAATCTGCGACGCTAAAGGCTGTGCAATGTAACCTTAGGTGGGGGCCTGAGATGGGGCGGATAAAGCGGAGCATGTAGTATCGAGAAGACTTCGCAACAAGGGGGGTCAGCGCAATAACAGACACTTAATGGAAAGGCCTCACTAGCAGAAAGCAAGCGATCTAGATGGAATTGTAGATATCTTTGCCTCTTTTATTTTTACCGGAGATACCACTCGATCCGACTCCCTGGTCGTTCTGACCAGCGTAGGCTCTAATGCTATCTAGTCGCTCAGGGGCAGAAACACTAGGGTGATCCAGCTATCCACCGTATCGTATGACTGTGTGTTAATACTTCATTTTCTAGTGCGTCGGGCTGAAAGCAAATGTGCAGTAGTCGGTGGGGGCTAGAGTAAAAGAAAGGGGGCGGCGATGAGTGAAAGATAGAGAGGCAGAAAAATGGAAAAGTGAGAGAAAGGGAGGAAGAGCAAGTAAAGACGGGGTCTTTTATGTCGGCGGGCATTGAAGGTAGGGTTACGTGACGGCATATTAGGGGCGCTAAACCTAAAAAGGAAAAACTAACCCGATACAGTAATTCATAGGACCGCCGTTTACAGAGTACATAAAGCTGCACTTAATGCTTGTATTGAAACAGATGGCTACGGAGGATGTTGTATACAGCAAAAGGTCGATAGGCGCGAACCAAGAAATATCCCGACAGTATAGCCTCTCTCATTCGCCTCTCCTCGGTTTTCTAGACCGAGAACTGGCCTTGTTGCGTAATTTGGTTGAATAGTGGACTTGAAGGGATGACATGTTTCGACCTAGGAAGTGAGTCGTAATCTCAGACCATGATATTGCCTCTTTTTCCTTCAGCCGCACGAGTAGTGCATTCTCGTCCGACGTGTACGTGTGTTTTAATGGGGGGATAACCGCCGTGTGGGCTGGAGGCAGCATTGGGCTAGGGTCGGGTACGAAAGTAAAGAAATATGCCGGTTTCAGACTAGTATTAGACTCGACCGTGAGGATAGCACTCCCATGTAAGCCCTGGATAGCACTAGAGCGATGAGATGAAATAGGAACGGAAGATTTCGAAGGGTCGGAAAGTGGCCTGATTGAAGGTCTCCTTTTCTTCCTCTTTTGACACGGCTGTGCTGTGTCATAGGGGGTGTTCTCGTCTTGGTGGTCGCCGGTGCCTCGACCTGAGCGGAGTCGCTTCTTGCATACTGCCGCAGCGGCCCTTGTGCTTGTCCTGGCGGCTCCTTGTTTCTAGGACGTTGACGGTATAACCATAGCTATCGACGGGTAGCGCACCGGGGGTTTGGAACTTAGTGTCGTTCGAGCTCGAGAACATTTTGATGTAGAGCGAGCCGTCGGTGGAGAGGACGGCCTAGATGTGGCTGGCGTGTCTTCAATAGTGCTGGGGTCTTCAGCCCGCTCAGAAGCCTTGTTTGCCCTTGAGCATGGATTTTGACCTAGGTTAGATGTCTGACTCGGCTCCGAATCATTTTCGTAGTCCCTACTGTCTGAACTGTCTGAGGGCTCCACGGTAGATAACTTCCGCTTGGCTAATTCTTGCTGAAAACCACCCACCACAGATAGGTTGCTAGAGACACAGTTCGCTTATTCGGGTGTAGGTTCTGGTGTAGACACGGGTGCGGTCATACAGGGTATGTACGATAGTTGAGAAGTCTCCATTTCTTAGGTATTAGGAACAGTGTCTACAATATAAAAAAAGTCAGACAATAAGAGGATGATAGCCGAATTTCAATGTGTTGTGTCAGCTTACCCGGTAGATCATCTCCTCGTATATCAGGAGGAATAGGGTCTAGGTGATTTGGCCCTGTAGGATACGGGATTGTTCTCGCGGAGTGTGTCGATGGCACTGGCTCTGAGAAAGCTAGCGCGGAACTTCCACGATCCAACAGAATGTCATAGGCAGCTGGTATATCTGTTGTCACTGAGGGTCCGATATCTTTCGTCATTTCAGTCTGAGTGGGTCTATAGACATGATTGATCTCGAGGTCAAATATGTTCCACTTATGAGTTGTACCGGTTAGTGGCGGTGACTGTCCTAGGGGTACCTTACACGGTCCTGGATAGAAGCCGAACCCAGTGGAAAAAGACTGCTGGAGGTATCGTGGTATATGAGCTGGGGCGTGGTTGGGGGGCACGCTTTTTGCACTGGTAGAAAGCGGCGGGCGACTTGGGCTATGGTAGAACTCGATTTGATCAAGATCTACCCTCATTCCTAAGAAAGTGATAAGACACAGCGGAGGTAGAAACTAACAGATAATGAAGCAAGCTTGAATAAGAGTGCAGTGGTCACTGGGCTGGTGTGTCTACGTCCGTTCTGAATCATATCTAAAGAATGGGAAAAGGAGGTCAGTCATCCTTTTTAATACCTAGGCGCCGCCAGGGCATTACTAGCTGAGGAATCATACAGTATATCGCCTTGCGGATCCCACATAACCGAGAACTGCGATAGCACTGCCTCGTTGATACTATTCGCTGCTTGCGTCGGGCGATCACTTAAGAGTACTCCGGACTAATCTAGCTAACCGGCCTCGTCAAAGGGCGCCTTGGGTTCGTAGTAGCCACCGTGTAACGTTGTAGCCTCCAGGATACCTCAGCTGACAATTGATGGATTGGGAAGATATTGACAAGAAAAAAATCCCTCAATCCGAGCGGCAGCCTACAATTCGCCAATCACGCAAGCCGATCATGCAAGCCATCAATTTCATGGATGTTTGCGATGTCTCAGCTCAGCGTCAGACCTCCTTGAGGCATTTTTGCGGTTGGATAGAGAGCGGAAGCGGGTCTAGCGAGCGACTCACCGGCTATTCAATCAGGGGTCGTCTGAAAGAGCAGAGGTGGCCGTTCTGCGGTGTGCTGCGTGGCATTCGCAAACCGAAGCCTGAGACAAAGAGCGGCCAGTAGTCCTCCTACATTCCACTTCAGATGTCTAGTTATCAAGTAGACCGAGGGTGATGTCTACAACGGTTGAAATAGCGACCCTCCGTAGCGTACAGTATGAAACGAAGAATGTATTGAGCCATATAGAACTGGGAAATCAAGGGCGATCCGGGCGACTCGCAGGGCCAGACCGACGACTCCTTCAAATTTCCGCGAGTGGGGAAGCAGGCTGTGTTCGGGGCGCAGAGTTTTCAGCTGGCAGGGGCCACGTCAGCGGATCAGGGAATGATGCTGGCGAAAAATAATGGAGGGGGAAAGGGGGGAATGGGCGTGGGAAAGAAGAGAGTTGTCGTTGAGCGACGCACCGCGGATTATATAGATGGCGGATGTCGCGAGACGGGCGGTGCGAGACGGCAGATCCCGATCAGGGCTAGCGTGAGGCGCCAAACCCGTTGCGGACGGGCTAAACCCCAAGTAGACGGACGCGATGCCGGATCCGGTGGCGGCCCCACGGGCGCTAAACCCCAAGAGGGGGGGCGCCGAAAACGGCGCCGGTTCAGCAAATCGCAATTCTACGTAAGGTATATATTATATAGGTTTGTTTCGTTAGTACGTATCGCAAACGCGGATATAGAATCGAACCTTTCGCTATATATTTAGAAAATAATAATTTCGTGTGATATATTCGATGGTTTTTTCTACTCCTATATATCTATATAAGATATTATCGTAGTATCGACGTATAACCTCTTCTCTTAGCTTACTTAGAATATATATTAATCTATATATATAGAGTAATCCTTAGTCGTCCTTAGTGAGTTTTCTACCCTTCTCGACGAGTTAATTAACCGTATCTTCCTCTAATATATCTTTGATTTTCTATAAGAAGTCGTTATCCTTAACTTCTATCGTCGCGGCTAGTAGCTACTTATTATACGAAATAGTACTATTAGAGTTTTATCTTAATATAGTAGGATCCGCTATCTTAGTCCCTAATTCGTAATCTAGTCGTCTACTTAAAGCGTCGGCTTATCCGTTCTCTATCCCTTTATAGTATTCGATTTTAAAATCGTATTATATAAGGGTTTCGGCCTATCGCGCTTATCGTCTCGTTAATTTCTTCGTCGTAGTAAAGAACGTAAGATTCTTATAATCGGTCTTAACCGTTACTATATACTTTACTCCTTCTAGATATACTCTCTAGACTTAGAACGCTGATATTATAGCTAATAGTTCTTTATCGTATATATCGTAGTTGAGTTCTACTAGAACTATTTTCCTTGACTAAAATATAACTAGTCGGTACTTACCGTTAGTTCCCGGTTATATTAGTCTTACTCCTAGAGCGTAGTCTAATATATCGGTTTCTATAATAATTAGTCGGTCGTAGCTAAACGTAGCTATAATTATTCTTTTATTAAAGAGTTCCTTAAGGTTCTAGAACGATTTGTCTACTATCTTATCCTATATAAATTTCTAATCCTTCTTAGTAAGATAGTAGAGTCCTAATACGACTCCGGCGTATCTATCGATAATCTTCCGATAATAATTAGCTAGACTAAGAAATTATTATACTTCCTTTATATTTTTAGGTATCGGCTATTCTATAATACTTTTGACCTTATCTTCTTCTATCCCTAGTCCTTTAGGTATAATACGGTATCCGAGGAAAGTCGTTTCCTAAACGTAGAATTCGTATTTCTTTAGTTTAAGAGTGACTTCTGCTTCTCTTAGCTTCTATAATATAAGTCTATTATATTTAATATGATCTTCGAGTGTCTCTAAAAAGACTAAAATATCATCTAGATGTTATGGACCTGTCCGTCACCAATCAGTGGTGACCCACCAGGCACACCAATGGGCCATCAAGAGCCAACCAGGATATCTGTCAGCAGATCACGTGCAAGCTCACTGAGCAAGAGCATGATCCGCCCTGAGCGGATCCACCCCGCAGAGGATTTCCGTTACATAGGTTACTCTACGTACCAGACAACCGCTGCACGCAGAAGACGGTTGGTCAGCATCACGTGATCATGCAGGTAGTAGAAGGGTAGCAAGTAGATCGGTAGAATCCGCCAAGGCGATTCTACTATTCTACCATCTACCATTCTACACAGGAAGAACTCAGAGATATATAAGGACACTCATTCATGTATCTAGTTTAGTTCTTCGTCTTCAATTATACATTGTTACTTGTGTTTACCTTTTGGATTACTGTGACTCTTTACTTGATTATAACTTGACAACACTCACGAGCAGACCAATACCCCGGTATAGATCTACTCGGCGCTCTACCTGGCATCAGTTCCTTGATCGCTCAAAAGGACTTAGGCTACTATAAGGCCCTGCGTGGCATTAGCTCAGTTGAGACCCGATCATTGACGTTGGACCATTCGAGGAGTATTAAGGCAAGTATACCCTGAACCCATCTAACCTAACTGTGACCAGTTAGCTAGTGCGTAACACATTGAAGACCGTCTCGAATCAAGTTTCGAGTCACGACAAGCAACATGTCTCACGCCAGTGCTGGGAAGAAGCCCATTCGGGAGCAAGTCACTCCACCCGTGGAGGATCCCGACTCTGACGTCGAACGAGACAACACCATTGCGGAACAGAAGCGAAAGATCAGCGAACTCGAGCATAACCTCAAAAAGGTCATGGATCAGCTCAGCAACTTGGGTAAGCAAAGCGGCACCAAGTTTGGCGAGGTCGACGACTACCTCGAGCAGATCAAGGCTCAAGTCAACGCATCCGCACCCATCAGTACTGTCCAGGCACCACGATTGCCCAAGGCTGAGTTCTTTGAAGGAAACCGAATCAAACTTCGAGGATTCCTCACTCAGATGGACATGCACCTCGATGTGAACAGCGCCAAGATACCCAACGAAGCCGGCAAGGTGATTTTTGTGTCAACCTACTTGCGCGGTCAGGCATGGGATTGGTTCGAACCTCACATCCGTGACTATTATGGAAAGAAACCTGAAGAATGGTCGGATACCACGACAAACATCTTCAGCGAGTATCGCAACTTCCGTCGACACCTCGAAAATACGTTCGGAGACATCGACGCTGCGAGAACAGCCCAGAAAAAGTTACAACGAATCCGACAAACCGGAACCATGTCAAGCTATGCCTCTGAGTTCTTGCAAATCATCTCTTACTTGGATTGGCCAGACAGAGCATACCTTCCTTACTTCGAAGCTGGAATGAAATCCGACGTCAAGGACGAGCTAGCGCGAATGGATCAGCCAGAGGAGCTTGATCAACTCATCAAGATTGCGGTCAAAATCGACAACCGCAACAGCGAGCGAAGAAGGGAACGACACGAAATGGAACTATGGAAGCGTGGAAAGATGCACAGCTTCAACCGATTCGGTGGACGCCGCGACAGAGCGACACCACGGGACAACGATCCATATGGCCCGAAGCCAATGGAGTTGGACGCTACTCACGATGAGCAAAAGGAGCGTCGCAACAAGAATCTTTGCTTTACCTGCGGGAAACCAGGACACCGCGCGAAGGAATGCAAACAGAAGAAACCGTATGAGAAACGGCAACACATGCGGGCGACACGCGAAGCACTGCGAGCGACCCAAGAGGGAAAAGCCACCACCAGCACAGGCACCAGCGCCGAAGGAATGAGCGCCAGTTGGGAACACTGGGAGGAAATGCACCCTAACGAGCAACAGGGCGACCTGAGAGGGCAGGTCGGGACCCTCATCGACAGCCTCAGACAGAAAAGGCGAGTCGCTATGGACCTAAGAGACGAGCTCTTAGAAGATCTCATGGGTAGGCACCAAGGCCTCGACCCGGAAGAGATAACGGCGGGCAACCTGTGCATTGAAGGGTTAGCCGACGAGCCAGAACTCGATTATCCAGAAATCGATTGGGATACGGTAGAAAGTCAAGGGTGGACACAGCACGTGCCCCAGGCACTGATCCAAGACCCAGCAGGACTTAAGGCTAGGGAGGACCTCGGTCGGCGGTCGCAAGACCCACCAGGTCTGGAGACCACGGTCGCGGGAACAAAGGAGTCCCGGGACCCCAAGCATCTCACGACTAACGATGTGGGGCCCCCGGAGACACAGGACCCGATCCCCGGAGCCAATAGTGATCTAGGAACGCCAGATGCGCTTCCCGGAATAGATCAAACCATCCCAGAAACACCAACAGAAAGCCCTACGAACCATCACGATGATGAAGAAGCTAAAGAGCTTAGGGGACATCTCGAAGGAAAGATGTGGCCCAGCAGACTGGACCAGCACCTCATTGACGCAATTGAGGAAGGCGACGACCCAGCAGGATGCCCTTGCGAAAATTCCACTTGCGCGTGCAAAGGATATGCGCGACACCCAGGACATGGCAAGATGGCCAGTGTCATGTGCTACGACGAAACGTGCATCATTCATGGGTCAGCAAAGTTAGATTACGGCATCGAACCGAAACCACTACGGTGGATGAAGAAGCCACAATGGACGAAGGGATACCAAGGAATTTGGTACAATGGGCGCCAGATGTACGACCACGAGGGTCGACCAACAACACATCTAGCGGCAACAACGTCAGGAACACACATTAAGTTGTACGCGATCCTACCTATGGGGAAGGCATGGACTCTCATCGACTCGGGAGCCACCAACAACTTCATGAACCCAAGGTTTAAGGAAGATCGACAAGTTGCGACCGAACCCCTACCACACGTGATACCAGTCGCAGGACTCGACGGAGAAGTACTCTCAGGAGGAGTCAGCGAGGAAACCATCACACTGCCTATGTCTGTCTACGGACACCCAGAATTGATACGGTTCAATATCTTGGAAACGGGAGACTACGACATTGTTTTAGGCATTCCATGGCTTAAGAAGCATAACCCGAGCATCGATTGGCAATCGGGATACATCTCATTCGACAGATGTACATGTGCGGAAACATACGACGAATACGAAATGCGTCGACAGAAGTCTGCCCAACGAAACGAGCGCAGCAAACAGTCCCGAAGCAAGAGGACTAGAGTGTCAGTCACG